TTTTACATTTTACGTTGTTATTATAAGCATATATAATTTATAATTATTAATAATATTTTTTGAATTTATAATTAATTACAATTTATTCAACTTACCCTAAATTACAAAATAATTATACTGTAGTTGAGGAGCAGACCGATAATACTTTTCTAACAGTACCGATAATTTGTTATGATTAAGTGAAAATAATTTATGTTAAACAACAATAAATAAGTAAATTATTTACCTGATGAGGATGCAGATGGGCCAAAACGCCCCCCAGCCTGCCGTTGAGGAGCAGACTGTGTGGGACGAACAGCATGTACCGGACGAACATGCTGTAGAACCGGCTGTACCGGACGAACTGGCTGTACAGTAGGACGAGGGTGGTTAGGACCCATAGGCTGTGCGTGGTCCTGATCATCTGAAGAGTCGTCCAAGTCATAGTCCTCTGGACCCGGCTCCCTCTCGCCGTACTACTCATCATCAGCATACCCCTGCTGACCATAAGGTAATGGTACGCGTGCGCGGGGGGGTAACGACTTCCCTGCGTAGCGGGAAAAAGCACATCCCGACTGATCGTACGGTCCTGGCGGCGGGGGCATCGTCCTGCCCGCCTGGCCAGGATAATAAAATCCATGTTCGCCGTACGGGAGGGCTCCGTGGGGTCGCGAACTACCTGGCTGGCCCTCAAAATGATATGAACCAGTGGGCACTGATGCGGGGGGGCGGGAACTCTGGCTAGCCTGACGAAGCTGTACTCTACGAGCCTCATCGATCAACGCCTGCCTTTCCGTGTCCCTCTCTCGACGAACGGACGCATTGACACCCCGACTTCTAGTGTGTCGGGTGCCAGAACCATCATAATAGTCATCGTACGCCTCGTCGTCGTCCCTGGCATTAGATTGTCCAGGTCTGCCAACACCCTGAATCAGAAATATAATTATTAGATTTTATAATTATTATTATAATATATAATTATTATTATTATAATTTATTATTGTTATTATAGTTATTTCTAATTCGTAATTATTATTATTATTATTATTAGAATTTATAATTAATTACTTTATATTCAACTTATTATTATTATCATATATGATTATTATTATAACTTATAATTTATAATTTATAATAATTATCATTATTATAATTATTTATTATTATAATTTATAATTTATAATAATTATAATTATTATAATTATTTATTATTATAATTTATAATTGTCCGTCCGGAACCGACGACCGGACGGACCCCGGCCGTCCCGAACCGCCGGTCGGACGGCCGGGCAGGTTCAAAAAAATAAATTTTAAAATTAGTTCCGGCCAATAAAAAAAAATAAATTTACCTTGTTGGAGAAGAATCCTTTGCCGATGCCGTATAATTTTTTCGACATTTTTTTGGATTTCTTTTTATGCTTGAATCGGCTGTTGAAGTTCGGAAATTTAGAGAGAGCGAAATTTAGAGAGATGAAATCAAAAATAAGGTTAAGGGCAAAAGAGTAAATGGGGGGCGGTGACTAGTAAAAGGGAGGCGGTGAATAGCAGTTGAGTTGAAAATTGATGATATTATCTGAAAGGACAATTTCGACCTTCTACAACTGCTTCATCCTCTCGAATGACCATCGAACTCTGTCCAACAAACACGCACAGAGCTGCAGTGAACAAAACTCGAACGCAAAAGAGGCAAATGGCGGCAGCCTTTCAGCTTGCCTCTTCCTCCTCCTTTCTCCCGCGCCACCATTTCCCCGCCGCCCCCACAACCGCCGCCGTTCGTCCCCTCCGCCGTCTCCTCATCTCCGCCGCCTCCGCCCCGCTGCGGCCGTCGACGGCTTCGAACCCGCCCGCGAGGAAAAAACACTGGAAAATCGGCGAATACCCCGGATTCATCGAGACCCCCAACAAAAAGAAAAGAACCCCAATCAAGAACATCAAGAAGAAACTCGACAGGAAGCAAAACGCCAAAGCGTGGGCCAATACCGTCACCGAATCCCTATCCGACGCCATCGACAAAAAGCAATGGCTCCGTGCCCTTGAGGTCCGCTTATTACAGTTCAAATCGCTCGTTTTCTTTACTAATTCCATTTTCAAAGGAT